ATCATGTGTAAATAAACTTGTCTGCTCAATAAGATGTAAACAGGAAGTCATTTTCACCAGTAGTAATAGCTGGTTGTTGATCACGTGACTTGAGGCGAAAAAAGGTTTCCATTGCAGTTTTGTGAAACACGTCAATCTTGATACGGCCAAAAAAAAAGAAGAGCCCTCGTTCTGGCCCAAGAACTTTGTAACGAAAAATGTGTTTGTTTGTTTTGTTTTTTTTTTTCCCCCAAAATTGACGTGTTTCCATTAAGCAGATTTATTTTTGTTATTTCAGTTTGTGCAATGTTACAGTTAATGGAAACACAGCCAGTGTGTCTTGCAATAAATTTACAACGTTCATGAAATCTCAGCTGAAAGGCGCAAATTATGCGACTACCAAGCAGGCTGAAGAGGAAAACCTCAGATTTTTAAGTATTAACAAAGTTAATAAATTCAAATATGCTGTGATGTTCAGCATCACTAGTCGGCTTCAGCTTTTTCAGAACATTTTGGCTCATGTAGTTTTTATTGCAGATGTGGAAACACTCATTGACACTCAGCTGAGCAGACTCAGTTGAACCTAATGAAGTCTAAAGAGAATGCAGCAGCAGATTAGATCTCTTTATGTAGTGGATGTCATTACGAACGGAATGTTTTCTACATTAAAATAACACGGAATTTATTAATTCACAAGTACGAGTGATATTTGTTTAAGGTGTGGTTTAATCAGTTCAACTCCAAATCCTCTAATTTCACTAAAATCTTTTCATTCTTTAGAATAAATCATTGAAAATGTGAAAAGTCAGTAAATAAACAGCATTGGAAACTACCAATCCTGGGGGCAACCAGCACCAAACAACTTTTTGTTGAACAAATTCCAGGAAGATGATGTTGCCTTTCACCTAATCAGTAGGAAAGTTGTTGTAAAGTGAAAGGTGAAAAGACTTTCATATTTCTATTTACCTCTTAATAAAACTGCAGGTAACTGGAGTTGATAAAACTGACTAACCAAGTCCTGACTTGAAACATTTTTTTGTGCAAGCTGGAATTGGATGGAGTCTGCGTTTAAAAGGTCAAGTATTCACCAAATTGGCTAAACACAAGTACTTTCAATGACACCTAAAAGTAATAATCCACCACTTGCAAAACAGGCGCTTGGTGAAATTGAGTTATTTAGGTTTTTTGCCATAAACTGTTTTCTGTCTTGATAAAATACTTGTAATTTTAGTTCATTTACAACATTTTAATCAATCATATTTTCAGTAACTGAATGTTTCCAGAAATTCACTGTTCTGTCATGCAACTTTTATCACAAAGCAGTCGTTTTGACTGCAGCAACTTACAGGCAGAACAGCTTTTAGATCTCTTGACAGGGTGCTGGTAATTTGAGTCTCCAACCAGCATTTTGTTTGACTTTAATTTCCCGCATGAACTCTGTTCACTCTCTTTACATATTATCTTATTAATTGCCTTATTTATCATTGCTGGGAGTAACATGTTGCTAAGTTCTGGTTGCGTTCTCCAATTACGGCCTTGTGATTGACTCCCTTTTCTTAAGCTGTTACGTTTTTTTGTTTGTTTTTACATATGCATCGATTTCAGAATTGAAAGTGAATATAACTAGCTACTATTGAAATCATTTGAAAAGGGAAAAAAGTGATGTATACCACTACATAAAGTGAAATATCAGCCATCAACATAATAAATACACACGTCTTTGTTAAGATGCGCAGAAAGGTGCAAATGGCTTCCTGAATTACATGAATATTGCAGATGAAAACCCTCAGATGGAATCCATGTGACGAGCAGCTGATTGAAGGAAATGCCCCCAAGGTGAGTTTCACTTGTTTCACGTGTAGCGCTGTCTTTTCTTAGGATCCAAAGCGTGGAAAATGTGAGATTAAAAAAAGAAAAACTGTTACTTTTTCCTTGAACTGTACTGAGTCAACAGAGTGCTGAGAGGCTTCTATTGTGTTTGTGCAGCTTGCAGAAAACAACCTGCTAAAGCTGCTTTTGTGTTTCCCTTGAAATCTCAGCAGTGGTTTTATTTTCTCTTGTGTAAATGCTCTTGTTGAGTACAAGAGGTTTATTTAGATGGCATTTCTTGTACCCCTGGAAGGGAAAGAAGTCAGTCTGGAGCAAGTGCTCTTATTTACAAAGAGTTGTCTGAGTCAAATGTATTGCCTGTATGGCTGAGCTGATGTAGACGTCGTCATTTCAACCTTCTTTTAATGACATATCCTCGTTGTAAGTTTGAGCGCACGAATCAAAATTAGCTTTATTTGCCAAATTTATGAACACAAGGATTTTGACTTCAACTTCCAGTGAATACATTTTCAAAATGAAAAAAAAAAAAAATCTGTTTTTTGTATCTATATCTTTTTAATTGATTTGCATATGAATTAGAGCAAATATACCTCATACTGAAGTGGGCGCTCTTGACTTTCTCGCTAAACTGAAAAAGAGAAAACAGGTTATCTAAATTACCCAAATTGAGTAAATTTGTTACATTTAATCACATTAAGTTTATCCAAGTAAATATATCAAGTTTATTAACTTGTCATGTTAAGTAAGGGTGAATAAAGTAAGTTTGATTAACTTAATTTGATATGTTACAAATTAACTTAATTTTTCAAAGTTGGAGCTCCCCTCTCTTTTTTCGGCTTGGTAGCAGGGAAGCTAGGAGTGACACGCTTGTTTCGACAGACATGCTAAACTCACAGCGCCATCCAGTGCCCTGGCATGACAACTACAGCAGATTCAAAGTGTCACGGTGTCGGTCGTCTTGTTTAAACGTGAAACTTTTCCCCAATCAACATCCGAAATACCGACACTCGTGTAAACAAAGACAAATTAAGGCTCTTCAGTTAAAACATAATACATAAAAAGAAGTCAGACTTCTTTTAATTCATATTTTATATAGAGAGAGTTTTTATAGCGACTGAAGCTATTGTAGTTGCTTGATTATTCTATAAAATGGCACTATATGCCTGGAAAATACATAATACATAACCTTTTAACCTTTTAAATCTGTTCAGGTTATCACAAATTTCTGAAATGGATTATATGTGTTACATGATCTCTTTGTTCGTGGGAGACGAGTTACTCTTTCCGATGAGGTGGAAGCTAAGGGTCAAAAGCGAATGCACGTTTCAGCGACACGCTAAAATCACAGCGCCGTATAGTGGCCTGGCATGGCAACTACAGTGATCTCGTCTAACAGTGGAACATTTAACAAATCGGGATCCAAAAATACCGGGAGTTTCCAAACAGTGGTCTCATGTAAACGTAGCCTAGCTAAAAATGGAGGCCCAGGTCAGTACACGCTCTTGTCAGGTCCCAAACTTTTTTTGGTCTTCTGATAATGAAAGAGGCTACTTACATCTCCCTCAAACATTCCCAGTGGGGGGTCTGAGGGCGGTTGTTGCACGGGGAGCTTTTGTGTTTTAGAGTGAGATGTGGATGCGTTGGTGGGAGCTGTGAACGGCTGCTTTTCAAACCTGCAGCAGAAGCTGCTAAGGTTGTCTGCCAGGCGAGGATGGAGGGATGGGCGCGTGTAGTTAGCAATGATTTTTCAGATCATTCTGACTACAATATCAGGTCATCTGCTGTGAAGAAGGGTTTCGGCTTCTCACTGTAGATTCTTTTAGCTGCTCGGATCTCTTTGGTCGGTTCTTCAGATGCCTTAGATGTGAGGTGAACCATGGTTTATTGCTAGTGTACAAAGTCTGGGTTTGGACACACACATCCAAAGCCAGGACAATAAAACAGATGTTGGAAGTGAATGTTTCAGCAAATCATTTATTTTTGTGGCTGAAGCTTCAAAAACACTGCAGTCTGTTCAGGCCTGTAACATCTGCTTTCCACTTCCTGACAACCCAAACTGCAGGCTTCAGATGTTTTCACTTCTGCTTATGAATGAAATGAAACCTTTATTTGTCTTGAATGTAAAATGGCAGATAAACAAATAAAATAATTAAGAAAACAAATCATAATAACCATACATAAAAATAAATTAATATCCAGTTATTCCACATCACAATTTATACCCCATTCCAAATTATATCTGTTCAATTAATTGATTATTAATTGATGACAAGCATACTACATTTGTGACGCACGTTTAACGCCAGGTTAGGTGAACTGGTTTAGCTCTGACTGTTGAACTGGCCGCTCTCCTGAATTCACCGACCAATGTGGGACCAGAAAGAGAAACATATCAGCACTTATTCCTGTTATTTTCGATAACTGTGGCTTAAAGCTGATGAAAGATAAAATAAATCAGATACTCAGACAGTCTGAAGATAAATTAACAGTATTTTTAATAGCACAAATAATGTAAGATGCCCAGCTTTGTGATCTATTGTAATATTTAAATTTTCTGAGAAGCTAAATTTTGGGTTTTCTTTAGCTAACAGCCATAATCACCACAATTAACAGAAATAAAAACTGGAAACACATCCCCTCCGTAGGTAGTAAATCTTTGTTTCGCTTTTCAAATTGAGCAACCAAACAAATTACCTTTCCCACCTGCATCTGCATATGGTAAATCTTTTCCCCCTTGTTCACATACAGAATCTAATGCAAAACAAAGAAAGGCAAAAAAAAAAGTAAAAGTCTGAAAAGAACAAAAACAGGATTTTTTCTAACACTGTATTTTGTCAGACAGCCGAGGCATATCCAGGGCTTTTCTCTGCAGTGTAATGTGGGAGAAGCGAGGATTTTCTCACCCCCGTCTTTCTTATTTTTTTTTTTTTTTTGCTCATGACTCCTTTTTGAATATTTGAACACTGACTAAAGCTGGGAGATTCTGTCTCACTGAATGAGAAGAAGAATCATCTGTGGGCTCCTGCAGTGAGACTATTGAAGAAGTCAAAACAGTTTAGATTCGTAATATCTCTGCAGCAACGTGGCGCCTCGCCATTGTTGCATTGTTCATCCTCGAGGCTCTGCGAAAAGAAAGTCATTTCTGAGGCGTTCAGCTGCTTTCCTGACATCTACTCTATTTTACTTCACAGGATAAGTGTCTTGGAGAACAGCTGGATGGATCACAGTCCTTTTTTTGTGTTGGTAAGTCTTCTTTAATAGTTCTCTTTTCGAATGTCAGAATTTAAAATAAGCCTTTTGAAATTGCCCCATTGCGCCGTTACTACCTCTGCAGAAATGTTGCTTCTGTCTCAGGAAGCTGCGCTTTAGGATATTTTAATTATTTTAGATGCTTGAAAGAGCAGAAAGTTGATTGTACCGCTGATCGTAATGATTACGCTGCAATATCGATACCAAGTCGGTATCAGTTTCAGATCGATACTTTAGTTTTAGGTTCTCTCTTGATATTTGATTATATTTGTTAATAGTAGTTTCTCAATTATACCTTAAAAATCGGTTTTCCTATTTTTATTTGCTCTCAGATGATAAATGATCTCAACTTTGTTTTAGTTAAGAATCCACACAGATTTGTTTTCTTTGTTTCTGTTTGATATGATGTATTTTTTCAGACACTTTTAACACTTTGTCCACATTCAATCCTGGCTCTTCAGACACTAATTCAAAGACAAAAAAAAAACAAACAAAAAAAAACAAACAGAAGAAGTCAGAAGTTTGATGACATATCAAACCTAAATCATGAAACGTATCGGTATTGGTATCACCAGTATCGATACCAATAAATACCCTGTGTTCACTTGGTATCAGATTGACACCAAAATATGCATTATGTCACACCTCTGATTTTCTTTTCTCACTAATATTGTCTAATTTAAATTTCTACGTTTCTAAAACATCTCCAATCTTTTCTTTCTTTAAATCTGCATGTGTGAAACAGAAAATGAAGGCTGTGAAGGCTCAGACCGCTGGTTGAGACCAATCGGCCTAATGACTCGTAGCACATGTTCCCACATTCCTGATCATGCTTCTGCAACACGTTATCTGTCGTCATTGTGTTTGGGCGACATTACGACGAGACTTTACAATCACGGACTTAAAATGATGGAAGGCCTCCATTGAAGTAAAAAAAAAAAAAAGAAAAAAAAAAAACTCCAACACAATATCAGAAGGTAGATGGAGAAAATAATGAAAAATGAAACCCATACTCACCTGCAGATATCTTGGAACAATGCTGACAAATGGCAGCAGCAGCCCGGCTGTGCTGTTTTCATCAGATCACATCGTCTATCTCACAGCGGCACCTGTCTCAGCTACCCCATCAAATTTCAGCAGCCCGCTGTCCTTGAGGCAAGCAGGCAGCAGCCAAATTATTTCCAGACTGGTTACTTCAAGGTGAAACAGCAACTGAGGTCTCAATTATTTCTCCGTGGCATATTCAGGACTGGAGCAGGAGAATTGGAAATGGAACGGCGTTATGGAACCGAATGGCCCCTTACCTCCTCGCCTATTTTAACTTGGCAATAATTGCCCAGATCACCTTGGTAATACATCTGCCTAGAAACAATACGCTGTCCTATAAAGCGAGCACAAACGATCTGTTCGGGACAGACATCTGCCAGCGGGGGACTTCATTTTAACAAAAAAAATAAATAAATAAATAAAAAGGATTTAATGGCAGACGGTTTGGCTTTGAGTTTGTTTTTTATTTTTTTGAATTGGGAGTTCATGACTCTTTCATGTGGTCTTTAAATAAATAAAAAGCCTACATTGAGTCACCTGCAGAGCTTGTCTGGTTGTGACATATGGCCCGGGCCAAATTCAGCCTCGACAGATCGTCTTCTTGGACGCCGGCCTGGTTTCTCGCTCGATAACCCCGGAGTCCGGCCAAAAACAATAAACCGATAACGAAGCAGTCAACGCCATGTGAGTGAAGGCAGATGAGGGGATCAGGTGGTCATTTTTTTTTACCAAGCAGCCGAGTTTGGGGACGTGTACGCACAACTCTCTGCTTCAAAGCAACAGCTTCAGTCGCTTCATCAGAGGTGAGCCCAGAAACCAGCAGCCCAAAAACACTAATATGAATTAAATCAGGATTCTGATCAAAATGCTGTGAATATTCTCCAAATGTAAAACTCATATTGCTTCAATGTTTTTTTTTGTTGCTACAACCGCAAACTGCAGTTGATTTTTCTTTTTCTTTTGTACTTTTCATGTAATAAAGCAAAAAAAAAATCTGCAAAGTTGGAAAGAAAACAAACGACTTTGTTATTTCCAACAATTTTTTTCTTTTTACCAATAAAAGTATGAAACATGTGGATCTATTTGTATTCAACCACCCTGAGTCCAAATCACTTTTCACTTGGAGCTGAATGTCTTCTGTATTTCTTTAGCCCAATAACACAGAATGGTGACTCTGCGAACTGTGATGTATTGAAGGAGTCTGTAAATTCAGTCAGATTTAGGTCTGAACTTCAAATGTACGGTGAAATGAACCATTTTATCTCATCTTGTGTGTCCAGGTTTATTGTTCTTTTAAAAGCTGAACCTTCACATTTGGTCTTTTGCAGCCTTTAACAGGCCATTTTTTAGGACTTCTCTTTCTTTAGCCGCTTCCATCTTCTCATTAACCCTTGCCAGGTTTCCACTCCCTGCTGAAGAACAGCATGTCCCTAGCTTGATGCTGCTATCACCATGGATACAGTGTGGAGAAAGTGTGTTAAGGATGTTGGTTTTCTGCCACACAGTGTTTTACATAAATCCAAAAAGTAACATATTGGTCTCATCTGACCTGAGCGCCTTGTCTCGTCAGGTTTTAAGAGTTTTGTCTTACCACTCTGCCTTAACGGCTGGTTTTGTGAATAGCATGACTAATACTTTCCTATCAACAGGCTCACTCACCTGAACTGTGGGTCTCTGCCTTTCCAAAGTCGCCACAGGCGATTTGGCTGCTTTCCTGATCAGCACTCTTCTTGCCAGGCTTGACAGGTGGCTTAGACGAACGGCCATGTCTTGATAAGTTTGTGTTTGTGCCACACTCTTCCATTTTCAGATGATGGGTTGATTGGCGCTCAGTGAGATGCGCCAATCTGATGCTTTACAAATGAACTTTTCTGCACAACTTACTCGTTGCTGTGTTCCTTGGTCTTCATGATGCCTCTTTAATCAATTTTTAGTTTGTTTGCCTAGAAAGTTTGGTTTGTTTGGGGAGGTGTGAATGTGAAATCAATCTCTGGTTCACCTACAAACCTAGATCTCCGTCCAGTTGAAGTGACCTCTGGGGTGGTTTAAATGCAAGCAGGCCGGAGACGTCTCTGAAAGCAGGAAGCAAACTAGAGTGCTGGGAATTATGGGTAAGTACAACCAAAACTAACACAAAAGTCTGGCGCTAGCAGGAGAAATGATCTTTTACCAGCGGCAAAATAGAAATCCTACAACTGATCAAAGGGATCAAAGGCATTGTGAAAGCACCAGCTGAAAACGTAACAAATGTTTCAGTTTTGGTTCCCAATCTAACCGAGCCTATCAGGTGTGAAAACATCCGTAAGGACACACCAGTGGAGCCTTTTTTCCAATAAGCGAACCTATGTAGACAGTTTCATTGGGTTTCACTGAGATTAGAGTAAAAGTGAAACAACACACCAAAGTTATCAGAGTTTTATTGTAAAAAATGGCTAAATACATATAATCTAATTATTATCTTTCTAAGTCCACATCACAATTACACGTATCTTCTTTTTGTCATCCAAAGTTGAAACATGTTGACTGCAAAACAACGTGGATATCTGGTGTAGACTTGACCTGCAGTTCTATAAAGTCCATTAGTGTGAAACCTGAGGTGACCAGAAGTCTTTTCAACTCAGATATATATATATTTGTAATAGAAGATGTGTGGATAGGGAGTCTTTATCATTCAAGCTGTGTTCTATCAGCCGTGCCATAAACACAGGCCTGCTGTGCTCTGCCTCATGCGCTGGCCCCCTTTAACCTTTTGATTTGGTTAGTGGGAGTCCGCTGCAATATAAGCTGCCATGTCCAGTTTGTGAAACAATGCTTGCAAGAGAAATTCACTCGATAGCCCCCCCACCCCACACACAGAAGCCAAACAAGCCGCCGCTCACTCCCGAACGAGAGGACATTTCCGCTTTAATTCAGATTTTTACTAAAACATGACAGGTTTACCCCGTAGAGGTAAAAGCTACGGGCCGAAGAAACAGCTCCACACAGTCTGGGGATCGGATTTTCCTATCAAAATCACAGGCCATTAAGATACATGTGTAAAACCTTCAATCAAAACACCTGAATTCCCTTTGGGTTTTACTACAAACCTGACAAAAAAGACTTTCTGTTTCCTGTCGGTCAGATTTTCAAAGCTGAACATGGCAAGAGGGCTGCTGTGCGACTTTATTACATTTAAATTTTCAGCACAACATGAGGCATGTGTGACATTTTCTACATGTTTGGGATTCTTTGAAACAGGAGTGAGAGTTTCAGACAGGGAGAAAACCTCTGTGACCTTGTGTTGAAATCATCATAATTTCCCTTCATTTCATTTCAAACAGACTAACCACCTGAACACTCGGTGTAATTGGAGCCTCTTGAAGGCACATCTGACACGTTTCAATCTAGTAACTTAATACTCGACTTCTTCCTCTTTTATGCACACAGGTGCTTAATGGAGATTGGTTGAATTAGCTAAAGAAGCAAAGCATACAATGCGAGTGAAAATATTGAAAACTGCTTCTTATGTAATGAATAAATTGTGACTCAAAAGATTAGATAGAGCATTAATTAAGCAGGAAGTAATACTAAACGTTACCAGCAGGGGCGTCTCTGGGGGACGGGGGGGGGGAGTTCAGGTCATCAGGTCATAGAAAGGCATTGAGGGTCAGGACAAAGTGGAAAACCCAATGAATAGTTGCATAAAAGTACTTAAGAATAAAATAAAAACGCATTAATGTAATTATCTCTGTTTTTTTTTTTTGGCTGTGACCCCCACTGCAAAATTATTTTTACCTGCATGGTTTGACCACTGGTTACATGCGTTAGCAAAATTGGCGTTTTAGCTCCATCACCTGTTGCTCTAACAGTGTACAAATAAAAATAAAATACATCCATAGTAGGTATAGTTCTGTAAACTCTGTGACTTATTACTTCAGCAGTCCAGGTTATTTCTGGAATGTATAACACAAACATAATAATTCATCATTTCTAAA